CAGCCCAGCACCCACCTCGCCAGCCCAGCACCCACCTCGCCAGCCCAGCACCCGGTCAGCCCAGCGCCCACCTGGTCAGCCCAGCACCCAGTCAGCCCTCCTACAGGGAGGTGCCGAGGCCCCACTAGAGGCCAGGCAGAGCTGTGGGGTGCTATGCAGAGGACTGAACTGGGGGGGGAGTTGTCAGGGAGGCCTCTCTATCTTCAGGGTGATGGGCAGAGTCAGGGGGGTCCCAGGGGAAACCCTGAAGCTGGGGGTGGGAGCTCTGGCAGAGGGGAAGCCAGCGACTGACAGTTGGTGGGATGGACTCTGTCCCTGAGTCTCGGAGAGGCCGGCGTGTCTGCTGTGCGGACTGGGAGCCAAAGGCCAGCTACGGCCAGTGGGTCAGCTCCAGGCCAGAGCACAGGTGCCAGGCTGCAGGGACCCTCTGTGCTATCAGTGGGGTGCCATGCCCAGGAACAGCCGTGCTGAGGGGCACCCACCTGGACTCATACTTGGACAGCGACTTCTCCTCCCAGGCCGTGTTCCCGCCGCCGAAGTTCTTCTTGGCCGTGTCCACCATTCCCTGCGGGAGGAGGGTGCGCATGGGCTCAGGCTCCCCGTCCCGGTGGGGTGACCATGTCCACCTCGGGAGCGACCCGGGGCCATCTCAGGGGTAACTTGGGCCCATGACGGTCCGTACGGGGCGTCCCGATCCGTACGGGGTGTCCCCGGCCCATGAAGGGGTGTCCCGGTGCATACGGGGTGTCCCCAGTCCATACGGGGTGTCCCGGTTCATACCGGGTGTCCCCGGCCCATGAAGGGGTGTCCCGGTCCATACGGGGTGTCCCCGGCCCATGAAGGGGTGTCCCGGCCCATGAAGAGGTGTCCGGTCCGTACGGGGTGTCCCAGCCCATGAAGGGGTGTCCCGGCCCAGGACGGGTGCCCGATCCCGGGGTGGCCGGGTCCGGTCCCGTAGGCGGCCCACCTGGTTGAACTTGTCCACCAGCTCCCGGCAGCGCTTGCA